ATTGAGGACCCAGTTTGTGGGGGCAATAAGATGACTTTGTATAAATATACAAAAGTATGAAGGCTATTGCTTAACGCATTGTAAGCCGCCCTGAGTCTCCGGAGAAGGGCGGCATATAAATCAATTTAAAAAAAAAAAAAAAAAAATCTTTTCCGCAAGTAAATACTGCCACCTGGTGACTAGTTAGTAAAATGTGCAAGGAAAAAGCCAGAACTGGAATAAATTAATAATAGCAATCCTAGAACACAAGATATGAACTTTCAGGGAAATTATTGTATGTGTGTATGAAGATTATTTTATGTTTTGAAAATTCCTGGTTCAGACTCTCCTTTAATAGAAAAGAGGAGTTTTTTTTCATTTTTTCAGCACAGTTGTAACTTTGGTCACTAAATGAACGGTTGCAGGAACTGGGCATGGCTAGTCTACTGAAGAGAAGGACCAGGGGGAGAGATGATAGCAGCCTTCCAATATTTGAGGGGCTACCACAGAGAGGGGAGGGGGTCAACCTGTTTTCCAAAGCACTTGAAAGCCAGACAAGGAATAATGGATGGAAACTGATCAAGGAGAGATTCAACCTGGAAATAAAGAGAAATTTTCTGACAGTGAGAACAATCAACCAGTGGAACAGAAGTTGCCTTCAGACAACTTCTGACAACTTGACTTCGGACAAGTTGTGGGAGCTTCATCACTGGAGGCTTTCAAGAAGAGACTGGACTGTCCTCAGTCAGAAATGGTGTAGGGTTGTTGTGGCTCCGTTGCCTGAGCCTGGGCTATCGACAGATGCAGACTCTGAGAGTGAGGGAGAGGAGTTGGCAAAGCCTCCCTCTCCAGGACCCTCCTCTCTGGCAATGCCTCCGGAGGACACCGAAGGCCAAACAATAGGCTCAGAGCCAAGCACGTCCCCGCAGCCACAGGTGGACAGCGACGAAGAAGATAAGTGCTGGCTGGACCCGCGACAGAGGCGCAGGGAGAAGCGTGCGCAGCAGAGGGGAAGGCGTGCCAGAGATTAGCTGAGTCACTGGACCACACCCCACAGGGTAGAAATGTGGGTGTGGTGGCCAGTTCAGTTTGTGACGAGCAAAAACTGGAAATAATCCATGATCTCTGCGTTACTGGACTTTGCCTGCTTTATCGGACTGCATTTGAATTAATCCTTGTATTGTTGAAACTCTGCCTGTTTTATCGGAATGCTTGTAGTCTAATCTTTGTTTTGTGTGAGTAAAGTCTGAATTGGCAGCTAGCCACTGGGTTGCTGCCAGCTTTATCTTCAAAGAGTTTTGTTGTGTGGCTTATTAACTCCGGGCCGTCTGTGGGGTGCGTGTGTGATACGGGGACAGAACAAGGGTCTCCTGCTTGGGCTAGATGACCTACAAGGTCCCTTCCAACTCTGTTAATCGGTTATCTGTTATTTTCTTATATAAACCAGCATTCCGGCCATGTCAGTCTGTATACCAAACCACTGCCATGATAATGAAGGAACATCTTCCAAATGGAGGACACAACATTAGCCATCAACCCTTCTCTTGTCCAGTGCTGAATCAAGATTAAAGCAACCCCAGCAGATAATTCAAGATGTCCTCAAGGCAACTCCAAGATCACTTTTGCAATCACCTGAATGCATTTATATATATACAGGTAGTCCTCGACTTATGACCGCCCTTAGCAACTGTTAGATGTTACAACAGACCTTCCTGGAGATATTTACAACCCGGATTCAAAGTTTCAATGGTTGCTCCTCCCTAGTAAGGCAACAACAGCATTTCAGGAACCAGATTTAGGAATCAAAGAGCCTTGGTAGTACAGGGGTTTAAGGCACCCTGTTATTAAGCTGGTTATTAAGACCAGCTGCCTGCAATTACTGCAGGGTTCAAATCTCCCCAGGCTCAAGGTTGACTCAGCCTTCCATCCTTTCTAAGGTAGGTAAATTGAGGACCCAGTTGTGGGGGCAATAAGCTGACTTTGTATAAATATGCAAAAGGATGAAGGCTATTGCTGAGCACATTGTAAGCCGCCCTGAGTCTTCGGAGAAGGGCAGCATATAAAGCAAATTAAAAAAAAAAATCATATTTATGGTCATTTGCAGCAAAACATGACTAGCTTTTACAATATTTTGTCCAAAACTGGCATCTACCGTATTTTTCGGAGTATAAGACGCACCTTTTTCCCCCCCTAAAAGGGGGTGAAAATTTAGGTGCGTCTTATACACCGAATGTAGCCTCGCCCTCCAACTGGCCCCCACCCTTTGGCCTCTGCCTCCCAGCAATTTACCTCCTTGCAGCAAGCAGCAAGAAGAAACAGCCCATTTCAGCTTCAGCACAGCCTAATTAGCACAAGTTGATTACGTCGGTTGGATCGGCCTCCCGACTCTCAGCTGTTTCAGGCTGCAGGGATTGCCATTGCCTATTGCTGCGTGGGCCTCTGCTGCTTGCTGCAAGAAGGTAAATTGCTGGGAGCAGATTTTTTTTTTTTCTTATGCTATTTGCTGCTTGCTGAAATGGCAAAATTGCTGGGAGGCAGAGGCAGATTTCTTTTTCTTGTTTTCCTCACCCAAAAAGGTAGGTGCGTCTTATAGTCCGGTGCATCTTATACTCCGAAAAATATGATAACTATGCCCGAGGAGGCCTTCTACTACCAGTACTGGTAGAACGGGTACTTTCAGTTTTCAGTAAAACTGTGCCCATAGCAAACCATTGATTTGCCTAATGACCACCACAAAAACGTCATAAAATTGGTTTGGTTGAATGCAGAGGTGAGCAACTATGCTCCCTTTATGACCTCTGGACTTCTAGAATTCCTGAGCTCAGGAATTCTGGGAATTGAAGTCCAGAGGTCTGTAGAGATTCTCAGTCATCCAGGTCGTGGTTGTCCCAAAGGTGCTTTTTCAGGAGGCAACTGGGCTTTCTTTGTTTTTTTCTTCGAAGACATTTCACTTCTCATCCAAGAAGCTTCTTCAGCTCTGACTGAATCATTCCCCACCGTCCTGTCAGAGCTGAAGAAGCTTCTTGGATGAGAAGTGAAACGTCTTCAAAGAAAAAACAAGGAAGTCCAGTTGCCTCCTGAAAAAAGCATCTTTGGGATAAGCCCAGAGGTCCTAAAGGTGCTATAGTTGTCCACCTCTGGTCTGTTGTGGCTCCATTATCTGAGCCTGTGTCATCGGCAGGAGAGGACTCCAAGAGTGAAGGAGAGGAGTTGGCAAGGCCTCCCTCTCCAGGACCCTCCTCTCTGGCAATGCCTTCAGTGTCCGCCGAATGTCAAGAGTTAGGCCCGGGGCCAAGCACATCCACGCAGCCACAGGTGGACAGTAATGAGGGAGATGAGTCTTGGCTGGATCCTCGGCAGCAGCACAGAGATAAGCGCGCGCAACAGAAGAAGAGGCGTGCCAGAGATTAAGCTGAGTCACTGGACCACACCCCACAGGGTATAAAAGGGGGTGAGGTGGCCATGCAGACTCTGTGACGGACAAAACTAACTACTATCGAGTCACATTGGATCTTTTGAAACGTTATCTGCCTTGGATTTAATTATGGACTGGACTTGACAATTCTTGAACTGTGTGTATTTTGTTTATGAGTAAAGTCTTGGCAAGCAGCTACTGGGTTGCTGCCAATCCTCTTATCGAAAGAATTTGGTTGTCTGCCAGTTTATTTAACCCCCGGCTGTCTGTTTGTGTGCGTGTGTGAGACGGGGACAGAACATGGTCAAGTGAGTGAGCCAAGTTATGATAATCACAAAATACGATCATGGTGGGCAGTCAGTCGTACCTCAAGGACTACCCATATCCGCCCTAAAGATTCCCGAGTCGAGGTCAGAACCAAACGACTCTGTGGACATATCGATGTGGTTGTCCTGGCAACCATTTGGAATGGTTTTGCCACGGAAGAAGCATCTACTAACAAAAACTGCATAGAATTCCCTAGGGTAAAAGAAAGGAGCCACACAAATCCAATAATTATTCAACCTCCCGGGCAAATCAAACAGGCCTTCAATTTATGGCACTGAATTATATAAACAGGTCAAGGTGCTACTTAAGCAAGCTTTTCATTCTTCAGAGGCCTATTCCATTCAGATCTTCCAGAAAGTGGTGGTGGGATGGGCACCTTCATCTGTGGCATCCAAAGCCTCCCCACCATGGAATCTTTTTGCCATAAATCTAAGGCCTATTTTTTTTTTAATTTGATTTATATGCCGCCCTTCTCCGGAGACTCAGGGCGGCTTACAATGTGCTCAGCAATAGCCTTCATCCTTTTGTATATTTAAACAAAGTCAGCTTATTGCCCCCACAACTGGGTCCTCAATTTACCTACCTTAGAAAGGATGGAAGGCTGAGTCAACCTTGAGCCTTGGCGAGATTCGAACCTGCAGTAATTGCAGGCAGCTGGTCTTAATAACAGGGTGCTTTAGACCACTGTACTACCAAGGCTCTATTTGATTTGCCCATGGTGGTTTAATCGTTATTTATCATTGGTGGCTTTGGCATTTTACTTATTTATATATTTTATAGGATGTAAATGTTCACCAAATGTCAAACCTCCCCCACCTACACCCAGAGGTGGGTTTCAGCAGGTTCTGACCAGTTCTGGAGAACCGGTAGCGGAAATTTTGACTGGCTCCGCCCCCATCGATTCCCTGCCACCCAGCTGATCGGGAGGAAATGGGGATTTTGCAGTAACCTTCCCCTGGATTGGGGATGGGAAGGGAGATTTTACTGTATCCTTCCCCTGCCACGCCCACTAAGCCACGCCCACCAAGCCATGCCACGCCCACCAAGTCACGCCCACAGAACCAGTAGTAAAAAAATTTGAAACCCACCACTGCCCCCGCCCACTTGATGGTATACATAATGGTGTACACTGGTTAAATATTACTTTGAAGGCCAAGTGGTAGTAAAACTGTTTTGAAATGGTGCTGATGAGAGGGACGTTCCATGGCAGTTAAAAATCAGTTGGGAATATTTAAGAAGGAAGAAAAAAAAGAGCAATAGAATCAAAGTTTATCAGTTCTTCATTGTTTCGTGTGTTGTTAATGACAAGCCGGTTGTTGGAATAATTGGTTATTCGTGATAGCGTCTCTTTATTGTTCAACTTCAGGTATTTACAATAATTGTCTTTGCTTCCTCCATTTATCTGAAGAAGGTACCACCACCGAAATATTTTCTACTGCTTCTAACTTCCACTGATTTGCATCCTACTTTTTTTTTTTTCTCTTCTTTTCTTCCATCTCTAATATTTCTTAGTTGGGCTGTGCTGTTTCGTTATCTTTCTTGATCCTCGTGAATATTTTTATATTTCTTGATCTTGTCAGAGGACAAGAAGTTACCCAGCAGGGAGTCCCGCCTCTCAGTGAAGCATAGAGTCCTACATAGGATGTAATCATAGTTTTATAAAATAATTATCACATGATCAGTATCATGTTATTCTAGTAATAAATTACTGCTTTTATGGAGTTGATGTGATATATATGCTATAAATCGCTGAGAATCTGTTGAAGTTCATGGCAGAATGAACGAATGAACGAACGAATGAATGAAAAAACATCTCCCAAATATTGACTCCCTTTGGAACTTGGAAGCAACTCAGTAAATGCAATTCAATTAAGACTTTAAGACTGTACTGGGATATATAAATACTACTGAATATTTTGGGTTTTTTTTTTAATTCATAAAGGTTCTCCTCACACATATGTGCTAGTTGTTCCCGACTCTAGGGGGCGGTGCTCATCTCTGTTTCAAAGCCAAAGAGCCAACGCTGTCCGAAGACGTCTCCGTGGTCATGTGGCCGGCATGACTAAATGCCAAAGGCACACGGAACGCTGTTACCTTCCCACCAAAGATGGTCCCTATTTTTCTACTTGCATTTTTTATGTGCTTTTGAACTCCTAGGTTGGCAGAAGCTGGGACAAGTAACGGGAGCTCAGCCCGTTATGTGGCACAAGGGATTCGAACCGCTGAACTGCCGAACTTTCTATTGACAAGCTCAGCGTCTTAGCCACTGAGCCACCACGTGTCCCAGCAATAACCATCTCTTCTTTCTTTAGGAAGCAGCATCTCAAACTGTGAGATGGGCAGCAAACAAATTTGACAAATAAATAAATCTTCCATGGTCAATGTGGAAAAGCTTAGGAAAATCATTTATATAGGAGAAGAGAATCAAGTGAGGCAACCTTTTCCCATTAAAAAAAGGTGGGCGAGTTGGTGAGTCATTTTAGGATACTGTATTCGGGGCCTTGCCCTAATTCATCAAGCTGTAAAAAGAGACAGCGGGATATTCGTGCTTTCAGACTTACAAGATGGATGTCAGCCCTCTTAAGTAAACTAAGCAGCAAATACAACCAGGTGAACCAATTCTATTTTATAGTAAAGCCACATCAATCGAATCTTGTAAATCTGAAAGTACAAATTTCCTGCCGTCTCTTTTTGACAGCCTGATCAATTAGGGCAGATTTCTTTCTCTGACCATCAAGCAAATGTGGGCTCCTCCTCCTCTTATCTGATCATTCTCTAGGCAGCATCTCTTCCCCCCATCCCTCAAGGTCATTCCCACATGCCATTTGCAAGAGTTCTGCAAAATGGTAATATATTGAGTCCCTTGAGATGTCAGGGATGTAAAAATGAAGAGCAAATGTTGATTAACTTTCAGAAGTATTGGGTAGCAGTAAGTGTGTTGAACTTGGGACGCGGTGGCTCAGTGATTAAGACACTGAGCTTGTCGATCGAAAGGTCGGCAGTTCAGCAGTTCGAATCTGTAGCGCCGCATAACGGGGTGAGCTCCCATTACTTGTCCCAGCTTCTGCCAACCTAGCAGTTCGAAAGCACGTAAAAAATGCAAGTAGAAAAATAGGGACCACCTTTGGCGGGAAAGTAACAGCGCTCTGTGAGCCTTCGCATATTGCCCTTATAGATCTGGGTCCTCATTTTACCGACCTCGGAAGGATGGAAGGCTGAGTCAACCTTGAGCTGGTCAGAATTGAACTTCTGGTAGTGGGCAGAGTTAGCCTGCAATACTGCATTCTAACCACTGCGCCATCACGGCTCATTGCTACAGCCACCATGATAGCTTTGTTACTGTAAACCTAGAATCTCTGGAGTAGGCTATATACACATTTTGTTGTAAATTTTTTAAAAAAATAGAAACATGAACTATCTTGGCTACGTTCTTACATTAGCAGATTTATAATGCAAATTTTATCAGTTAGAAAGCAGTTGTGTTTCAAAAGACTTTTAAGCATTTTCTTGGCAATATTGACCTATGGCTAACTTATATTTTATTTCATTTATGATCTTAATGTAATTTAAGATTTATGCAAATATGGCTGTTTTTAAACCAAATTCTTTCTCCCCAGGTTAAGTAGGATTACACTGTAGATATATATTTTAACTGTCAAGTTATGCTGATTGAAATTCTTACTAAACTTTTTTTTTCCAGGTTTTTTTTCCAGATTTGGAAGACAATTGAAGTAACTCCCTGAGGTATCAAGAGCTTTTTCAGTTTTTTTGTGTTTAGTGCTGATTAGCAAGACGTATTAGAAAAATAGAGGGTAGGTTTCTTTAAACTTTCTAAAGTATTTTGTTTAAAAATGCTTTTAAAAGTAAAAAAAGGCTCTGACGATCGCGCAGCACAGCTGTGATCGTCGGAGCCTTTCTTTTACCTTTTAAAAGCATTTTTTTTACAACCTATTCGCTGAATAGGTTGTTAAAAAAATGCTTTAAAAAAGTTTTTTAAAAAGGATCCGACGATTGCGCGGCACAGCTGTGATCGTCGGAGCCCTTTTTTTTACTTTTTTAAAGCATTTTTTACTACCGGTTCTCCTAAATGCCTAAAAAGTTTTTTTTTAAAAAAAGTTCTGATGATCAGCTGAGCGATGCACGATCTTCGGAACTTTTTTTTTTTTTACTTTTTAAAGCATTTTTAACTACCAGTTCCAGAGAACCGGTAGTAAAAAAAATGCTTAAAAAGTAAAAAAAAAAAAGTTCCAACGATCGCGCGTCTCTCCGCTGATCGTTGGAACTTTTTTTTTTACTACCGGTTCGGCGAACCAGTAGCCTTTTTTACTACCGGTTCGAAAGAACTGGACCGAACCGGTAGCATTTCACCCCTGGTAAAAAGGATTATTGCACCCCAAACTAATAATCTAATTTAGGAAAAATTAATTTGAGAACACATTATATTCTAACTGAATAGAAAATAATTTAGTAGATGATTTGTCTACAACACTGTTTCTCAAACTTGGCAAATTTAAGACATGTGGACTTCAACTGAATTCCCCAGCCAAATTTAGTCATTGGCTGGGGAATTCTGGGAGTTGAAGTCCACCCATCTTAAAGTTGCCAAGGTCGTGAAACACTAGTCTAGATTAAGAGGTCAAAAAGCAACTCAAACAGAAATTTTCATTATTACAGCCAAAAAAAGGTTACCCGGACTTGAGTTAATCTGAGCCTTTGCTTTTGTGGGGGGGGGAGGATAATTCTAGTGGCATAATGTCCAGATGCTATAAACAAATGGATTTGTCATTTTAGAGCATTGACTTTTACTTGGTGATTTTATTTAAACATGTTTTTTACTACTGGCCTATATCGCCGGAGAGAGGTTTACGGAATTGTGTCAATTGCACTGGGTATTTTCTAGGAAGATGATATTTTAAATTTAGGGAGATAATAAATACAGTATTTTTCAGAGTATAAGACGCACCTTAGTTTTTGGGGAGGAAAATAAGAAAAAAAATTCTGGCTCTGTTTACCAGCATCCATCAGTATTCACCTGGCTAGCGTCCTGTCAGTGTGTGATAGAATTGAGGGCTGTTTGGAAACTGAAACAGTATTTGCTGTGTGTAAATACTGTTTCAACAAGGAGACAGCAAGGAGACAGAGCTCAGTGGCTTAGCTCTGCAGCTCTGAGTCTGTGCTGAGCTCTAAACTAGTCTGCTGCTCAAAACTGAAACTCCTCTCCTCTGCTTGTGTTTTGCTTGTATTTACTACCACATTGGAAAATCTGCTATTGGTGGTGTATATTTTACTTCATGTGTTATATTATATATAAAGAGAAGCTATTGAATCCTACTGAATCAGTTATTTGTGTGTGCTTTCTGGATGTGATTGCTGCTGCAAACTCTATTTGCAGCAAATAGCAAACAGCCAGGTCAGCTTCTGCACATTATTGCAGCCTGATTCAGCACAAGCAGCTGATTGACGGGTGGATCCGCCTCCTGGAATACCCCCAATCAGCTGTTCCAGGCTGCAGGGATTGCCACAGACCATCGCCACCTCCGTGCCTTGCATTTTTTGCTACATTTGGTGTATAAGACGCACCCAAATTTTCACTCTTTTGGGGGGACGGGGAAGTGTGTCTTATACTCCAAAAAATACAGTACGTAGAATAGATAAATATCTATTTAATCAATTCCTGTTTCAAGTTTTAATAACCAGATTCTCCATTGTTTTTGGTTGTTGGGTTTGCAGTTGTAGCTTTTAGCTATGGGGTCTTTGTTGCGGCTGAAAACTAGAATAAGACTACAAATGAAGGCAAATACTGGTATGTGTCCCAGGATAATGTTGCAAGATCCAATCTGGGTTGGTCACCGAGATGAAGATTTACTCTTCTTAGCTTTCAGACTTGTGCTGGAGCCTTCTCTCTACTGGAATTATGTGTCTTGGGCTATTCTATGAGTTGTGTTTAAGTGGCGCCTTCCTACTGCTTGATTGGTGTGTTGATGGCCGGCGATGGGCTGTTGTTTCCTTAAGCTGCTAATAATAAGACCGGAGAAACAATTCACCGTTTAAATATTCAAATAATATACATATGAGTCCACAGAACACTTTTCATGGAACAGTAAGAGGCATCTTAACTTAGCATCTTAAGACAGGTTGGCATTACCTCTATCAAGTCTAATAAACTGTTATCCTAGGCAGATGGCTAAACCCAACGATATCGCAATTTCTACACTTCAAGTCCAAGTTGATGATGTGAAAAGCGTTATGACTCAGAACATTGAAAAGGTCCTAGAAAGAGAAGAGCGACTGAGTGAACTTGCTGACCGAAGTGATGATCTTGAAACAGCGGTAATTGTTTACTCTAGACGCATAGATGAGCCCAATGACCCCTTTGCCCTTGAAAGCAGGCAGAATTTGGAAAAAACCATGAAAAAAACGATAAATCTACTTTCTAACAGAACTAGCTAGCAGATCCCTTAGAGTAGGGGTTATCGGCCCACAGGCTGCTTAGATTTGGGCCATGGGGCTGCCCTGGAAACAGCAAAAATGTTTTTCAACATTTTAATCACTTTTAAGTAAACGAAACAAACTTATTGAAAAAAAAATGTATGCTGCATTTTTAAGGCAGCTTCATTTTATTGAATGAATCCCATTTTTAATCATCCCTCCCCTCCTCCCCCCAATCTGATTTCAGGCTCATGGCTTCCAAAAAACTTCTATCAAGATTTCAAAGAAGATGTGGTGGAAAAATGCTAAAATGATCATAATTCTAGCAATCATCATCATCGTCGTCGTCGTTTTCATAGTTCTTATAGCCACAGGGGTTATTCCAATGTAGGGAACGTTTAAACCTACCTAATGTACAAAGTATTGTATATGGAGCACAAATATTTATGTTGAAACCCTATTTTTATACATAAAACTGCTCGCTTTCGCCCATTAATAAAGTAGCTCATGCTCCTTCTA